ACACACACACACACACACACACACACACACACACACACACACACACACATACACATCAGTCACAGTAGGCTACAGATGTTTAAACGATTATTTTGCTTGAATTAATAACAACAAAAACGGACCAATTTAACTAACGAATTCTAACACGAGCTATGTGAGTGCGAAACACACTCGATACGAGTGGCGGCTCGAGAAAACATGTTTTCCATGCATGGATTCACAGCAATGCAAATCATTCTGCAGTGATTTGCCATTTTTGCACTGAATCCATACTTTTTCCTGTTTTACTTTTTCTGTTCGAGGGATCCTGTCGCACTTACACTCGCCAAACAGCACTTATGCAGCTGATCTTCAACGATTGCTTCAACGAATGTAGAAGAGCTTTTGTAACACATGTTTTTGTTTTACCTTTTTTATCGTTTTAATATTGGACTTTGCCAGCGAAGAACAATAAAATAGCTCAGCTGCAGTCACATGGTTTTATTCAACACTGTTTTTACATGGACTATTCCATAACATTGCCGATGAATCCATTGGTGGTTTGCCCTATTCAAAAAAAAAAATAAATAAAAAATAAATAAAACGAAAATCCAGGTCAATGTTATCTATTTAAAAATATCGTTTCGAATGAAATTTTGCATTCATTTAAACATACACTTGAAATTTTGTTTTCATTTCAACCGCCACGGCGTTTGGAGTACTTTCAAATTATTGCAGCACAAATTGTACCATCTTCATCTAATTGAGACTTCATTCCACCGTCATGATCCAACAATATTAACACAAATTCCTGGATTTATTTGCGCAAATGACACACAATTGGATAATGAACAATTTTAATTCATTTAGTTTTCATACGAATTGGAATATTCACGCGTATTTTTGCATTTGAATATGTACCCATACATAGACTATGAACAATGAAGAAACATCACGAAGCTTTTCATGAAGATTTAGATTTTTTTTTATTCCTTTGCAATTATTCGTTGTTCGGAGTTGGGTTAGTTCCGAAATTCATTCAAAAATGTGTGTTCATTTCTCCAAATCATTTTTCAATTTCGCCGATTTTTGTCAATTTTTTCCATTCAAAGAAGATCATCCCACTTGTCACATCAAAAAACGCTATCTCATTCCATGTATCCATAAAATAATTTCAATACTGTACTCATCTCATTCTGTCTTTAACTCCGTAGTCTGTTTGGAATTCTAACTTACATCGTTCTGTTTAAAAGCAAAACGAACAACAACAAAAATTAACTTGTGTAAATAATAAATTGGTTGGTTCGCCCCGGCGTGAGGTTTGCGCGCCGAATTGATTTGGTTGAATACTTTATGACAACATGTTTGTTTTTAATTTACAGTGAATTTGATTTTTGAAACTAACTTATTTAATCGAGTCTTGAGCGGATGCGATTGCATTGCGTTGTTTCTGTATGTGTTGCTGTTGATGATTGATCGAAAAATTTGCTATTATGATCAATCGATTTGAAAACGTACGAAATGATCGATTGCAATTGGACGCTTAAGACTATACTTATATCAATGGAATGCGCTTAACTTGGTTTTGATTGTAGGGTTTGTGTTGCCTTATAACTAATTTCTGCTAGAAAAAATGAACAATTATCACATCAACAACAACAAATAACAACATTTTAACCGATGGAGCCAATTTTGTGTGTATGATTTTAAACGATTTACCGAGAATTAAAGAAAAAAATGCGTGTTCTTTTCCATTTTGGACCGAGTGTTTTTTTGTTTTCTGTTTTGAATTGTTCGTAATATGCGTGTTCCTTCTACACGAAATGAGCGAGTGATTCTGTGCTTGGCGATGAACCAGTTGGATTCGTCCCACTTTTATTTCCTGTTTTCATATATGTTACAGTTCTGTTCTCTCTTTTTTTTCTTGCCATTCTTTTGGTTCGATTTACACACTCTATTTGTAGAATTTGGTGCTTGCTGTTTTTACCTGTAATGTAAATTTGTTTCCAATATTTATATTGTGTGTGGTAATAAACAAAAATTATTTTATTTCTCTTCTGTTTTCGTTTTGAAACTATTTCTCGTTGTTGTGCAATTTTATTTACCGACCAATTTTTTTCCTTCTTCTAAATAAAAACCCATAAAACTCAATCGGATAATCAGTGCAATGTATTTAAGTTTAAATGCGATTTTCCGTGTTGTGCGGCATTGAAATGCCGAAAAATTGGCATATTGAACGCAATTGCACCAAATCCGATTGAAATTTATGTGTTCCAATTTTATACATATATAGATATACATACATAGATTAAGGGAAAACACTAGGGTGTTTTTGATATCAGTCAAATGAAAAGTGCCTATTTTTGATATAAAGAGCACCAAATTCTGCGTACATTGATGGCATTAACACAACACATCGATTGCTATTCACACTTCCCGAAACAAAAAACTGTTGTAAAGTCTGACTATCAATTGCTGTGTATGTGTTATTGTCATCAAACAGTGCAGGAAGTTTCCTCTTTAAACTAAACAGACACCCATTTAATGATATCAACCCCCCGTGCTCAATCTCTCAATGAGTGTATGGGAAATAACGCATATAGCACGTAAAGTCCACTAGACATGGAACGATCAACACATATATACGCTCTTCTGACTCATTTCAAGTTCTGGGTCACAAAGTCGACTCCAGCAGTATGTAATACGCTATTACAAAAATGTTGTTTGAAAAAATTCTATTCTAATTGACATTTCTTATTTCTTATTCTATCTGATTCGTTCAATTGTGAACATGAAGTGCAGCTGAATTCCGAAGAGGTGACAGTGGCCTGAAAAGAAAAAAAAAACACAAAAATAAGTTATTAGTACGATATTTTCTCACTTTCATTCACTTTCATTCTAAATTTTAATTCCGAATCCAATTCCAATTCAATCACAATGACTTACCTTTGTATAAGATCAGCTTCGCAGCAGTGATGTCTCGATGCCAACAAGTCTTCAAAATGCGACGATCATGTGACTCTGCTGCATCCTCTTGCTCGGCAGGGTCCGCGTCCTCATCGATTGCTGCGCTTTGTTGCCAGTTTTTCTGGTATGAAATCACCTTAGACACAAAACGTTCAGCTTGATTTGGATCCTGTTCCACTGCTTCACGCATTCGTTGTCGATCCGCTATCAGCGTGCGCTTGCTCTTCTTCGACACGATTTTCGTTGGTAACTGCAAATTTGGTGGCCAATCATCGTTATCTGGCAGGCACCATTCGCATACTTTCATTCGATCACGTTGTGTTGCTATGTCGAACGGGGTGAAACATCTACCGCAAAGCTGTGATGTTCTGTTCTCGTTGACTTGTCGCACGACGGTGTTCGGAATCTTTCTGAAGCTCTTTGCCAACTTACGGTTGCCTGGACAACGAACATGTTTCTTGATTCGGATCGGAGAATTCGCCGGCATATCAACGGCTCCCATGTGAATGATGGATGGTTTGCGATTTGTCTGTTGAAAATACAAAGAACACATTATTCATTCAAAACAATCGCCCAACTAACGAAATATGCCAATATGAAAACATCTATTCTTACCAGTAAATTAGCAATCTTATCGGTTGCACGGTTTGATTGGATGTATTTGTCAAATTGCAGACGGGCGTATTTTTCTGTTGTATACGTCTCAATTCCTTTCTTCAGCATTGTCAAACGATGTGCGATGTAAGACCCCCAATTTTCACCTTTTGGCGATGGCATCCGTTGATAGCGTTCACGGTCATGCTGTTCTTCGGCCACAAATCGCCTTGTCCATCGCTTTGCCTTCCTATCCCGAACACCCTGCCTGGCCAGATAATGGTACCTCTTCGAGCTGACCGTGAAGTTGATCTGTGGGAAAATGATAAAAAATGAAATAATGCACTCAATCACACGATTTGAGACAACACAAACACAAATTGAAACTAAAATGCAACTCACCTCTTTGCCAGTTTTGATATTCCGTCTGACTGTCGCGTTCCAGGTACGCATGCCGGGATCAATCCCAATCTCGTATACGTACACACCATCACGATACCGTTTCCGCACGATTTCATCGTCTACTAAACGATCCAGGTGACTCTTCGGTACTTCGTACATAATGGATACCGCTTGACCATTCGAGGCAATGTAGGGCCGGAAACGTTTGTTTGATTTCAACAGGCGATGTATCTTTGGCATATCGAAAATCTCATCCCAACACTGCGTCATGGGGTCCTCCACAATTTCGTACTTGATTATTAGACCATGTAATCTGAATCGCATTTCGGACATCATTCGAATGAGAACGTCCGTCTCCATTTTCACGTGCTGTCGCATGAACTGATGAATCGGAATGACTTTGAGATTTTTGATCTTCGGAATTTCAATGCCATTTTCCTCAGCCCAAATGTGGAAATTGTCCACCTCCATTTGCATAGTCAACCACATGTTGATTGATTTGAACCATGTTCCTTCCGATGTTGTGTATATTGCGACATCATTATCTTCTGGCCCGCCAATTTCCGCAATCATATCGAGAAGCAATTGGCGCTTCTCCCACTTTACTTCCCAATGTCGGTCGGTTGTTTTGATGGGATCATACCGATCGATGGTCCATTGCACGGCACGCTTGATATCATCGTTGCGTAATGTGGGGCCAGTTGAAACAGCGTTAAATTGCCACGCACGCATTATGAGATATTGGTACAGGCGTCTTTCGGCATGCATCTCCAAATTGTTGCGCAAATTCGTGGTGTATTGCTTGTAGAGGTATTGCATCTGGTTTCCGAAGAAGCTATTACCCGGCCAACTGAATCGGTTTTCGGCCTCCATATTCTCCACGAAATCACGAAAATCTGGAACCATTTCTTCCTTCTCTTTGTTTTTTTGTAAAACTGCATAAAAACAATCCTTAATTTCCTTGTTGCCATCACCACTGAAGAAGTCCGCATTATTACTTTCGTTGGCACTCTTAACTTTGTACAGGAAGAGCAGCGAAGCTAACGCGCAGATTTTGGTGCATTCAATCGACTTTTGGGTGAACCAATCTTTCACTTGTTGATAATATTGTGGTCGAACGATAGCCTTCAATGTCATTTTTATCGCTAGAATGCCGATTTCTCCTTCAATACCCGTTTTGCTGACTATTTTCTTCTTTTTCCGCTGGTTACCGCGAAGTGGTGTACCCTTTCTCTTCGGCATTTTGGCTGAAATGAAATCAAAAAAAGAAGAAAAAAACAACAAAAAACAATTATAGAAAATATGAAAAAGATATATCCACTTGAAAATGCAATTCAGAAAAGAAAAAAACAATTGAAAACACCGAAGAAACAGAAAGAGAAATTGTAATTTGAAAAGTGTATCAAAGTCACGTCTTACATCAGCAGGCAATGCAACTCGTCTGACTGAATTCGATTCGCTTCGTTGTGTTTCGTTGCGGTCGTATGATGAAATTCACATCGACTCATCGATGTCACCGAGTCTGTCAAATGATCCGCTAATTTCGTTGTGTCAAAATGTTAGCAGTGCCACTTTGCAAATGTCCAGTTAGTTTTGTATCACAACGGTAACATGAACAAAATTCGCCGCAAACATGTCTTTGCTTTTTTAGCACACAAAATCGTCCCATTGTATACACTCACTGTCTTACGGTGGAAAAAGAACAAACGATTATCACTAGTTTTGCTGATCTTTCATTAAAAATGAATACGGAAACAGAAACCACAGTGGCTAAATCCATTTTTCGTGCAATCGACACAGTAGCAGCGTTAAAACTGTGAACTGCCATTGTTCCTTGCCAAAACAACACATTGAATTCATACTGTGGTCAACTGAATCACATCTGTGTTTTGGTGTTTCGCATGGAATTTTTTTTTCGTGAAACGGTTTATTGTATGTGTTTGCAACGAACCGGCGGCATCGTGTTCGTCCTAAATATAGAATGTACGCATGCAGCACAACGCTGGACTGGAAAAATAAACAAATAATATGTTCGTTCCGTTGAACATTTGTTTATTTCATGAAATGAAGCGTATATTAGGAATGAGTTGACTTCCTGTTCGATGATCTGAATTTAAAGAATTGATGTGAAACTAACATCGACGAAATGGAGATGAAAGTATTTGTTACACATATTTTTTGCTTCGGGAAGTGTGAATAGCAATCGATGTGTTGTGTTAATGTCATCAATGTACGCAGAATTCGGTGCTCTTTATATCAAAAATAGGCACTTTTCATTCGACTGATATCAAAAACACCCGAAAAATTGGCATAAGGGTAATTAAGGGAAAACACACATGATACACACACACACACACACACACTACACGATATACACCCCACATATATAGATTCAAATGGCACAAAGCTTCTCTGCGAGCCATTTTCAAATAGATGATTTTGATTTCGTTTATTTTTTCGTTTCGTTTCATTCGTTTTTATTCTCGAATCGAATTGTTTTTTTTTTCTTCAGTTTAGCGTTTCTCATGATATAATGATTTTTGCATTTACGCGTTGAAAATATTCCAAGAATTGTTCTTTTTTTCCGCTTGTTCCGTGTGAATTGAAAATGATTCGATGAGCCATGGTTGCTCATAATGAGATCGACGGAACAAAGTTGATTATGCCTGTTTAAGGGTGCAAAGCCCTCTATTGAAAGAGCTAAAACTGCGGCTAATCTTTATTGAGAGCATCATTGCATGGCGTTTAGAGGAATTATGGGCAGCACACGGATTATTGCATACTCTTTTTCCTGATGATTTGCATTTCAAATAGCGCAAAGAACGTAAACTATTTAAAATGCAGTGTGTATCAACCAACAAAGTATACAATTTCCCGTCTCTCCACCACCACCACCACCACTTTTCGGCCAATACGAAGCAATGTGAGTCAATATAACGTCCAATGACGTCATTTATGACCTCATCCGATTTGTTGTAGTACACACATTGTGTAGCATTGCTAACAAAAGTGGAAAATGCAACTGGCTCATTTCTCATATATCAATGCTATGACGCACATTGATGCTTGTTCTGCTCATTTTTTTATGTTCTACTTCTATTTCTACTGCAATTTGGAATATTTTCAACTTAGTAAAGCATATTCTTTATATTAATAGAGATGAAAGAAAAAAACGCTCAACAAAAAGCTTCACGAATGCGATTTCATTTGAATGCAACTTTCCTTCATTTTTCTCTTCTTCATTTCAATCCAATGAATTTTATTTCTACTTCTGCAAATGGCTTACACACAATTTTTTCTTCGATAGAACTTATAGAGTTATTGCTGATAGCAAACCTTTTAGATCTTTTCATTTTGACTTCCTCAACAACAAGAACATATATAAATACATTTTGAAAAATAAAAAAAAAACATATTTTAAATAGTTACTTTATATATACAAATAAAGTAGAAATTTTGCATACCGTTTCCCTACCCTGCCCCACCACACAAAAAACAAAATAAATGAAAATGCATCTCCCAATTTCAATTTAGACACAACTCAGTAAAATAAGTAATAGTTGCATTTTATCATTGAAAATTTCATATCGATAATCAATATTCCGGAGAATTTCTCTTACTTTTTCATTTCTTCATCAATTTTCTCTATCGAATATTTTAAGTCGATTTTCTATCAAACTGAATTGTATACACATTGATTTCCTCTGACATTTCCTTGTGAATTTCTCTCCAACATTTTTTTTTTCTATTGTTTTTCTTCTTCTATACATCTTCAATCAATTTTCTAATAAAAACCATTTCTATATCCTCTAAATGTACATCCTACAAAAATATTTCAGAAAACCATTTTCAAAAAAGTTTCTACGAAAAATCTTTTCTACAAAACCAAAACAAAAAAATTCTACCAAATTTGATTCAATCGAAAGAAGAGTCATTTTTCAAATGCAATCGGTTATAATTTCCAAAATTTTATGAAAAAAATCAGAGAAATGTTGCAACAAACTCGGTGATATTTCGCATGCGTGAAGTTTTATTTTTTGGCGTCGAAATTGATAAAGCGATCAAAGCGCTTTCACATTCACGCACAACGTTGAGTGAAAATCACTGGAAAAAAAAACAAATTGTAAAAAAAAAAATTCTAATAATTTTCCGTTTTTATTTTCTTCAATCGTTGTATTTTCTCTTGAGTTTTTGAAAATGCAAAAAAAAGAATTTCCATTTTATTTTTATTTCACAGAAATTTCTGAAAAAGAAAACAATTTTTTTTTTTTAATTTTTTCTTTTATTATACATAAAAATACAAATCAACATGAATACACACGATCCTATAAATTGCATATGCATCTCGCTTTTATTGTTAAATTTAATATAGATTCGGGTTGTAAATGCATTTCGCCAGGGTTTAGATGCACGTTACGGTGAACACAGCAATACCACATTGGCCGAAGTCCTGCGAAAGCAAACATCGTTGAGTAAACGTTTATCGCAAACATCGTCAATTGAATATGCCGACAATATACCGGATGAACTATCGATACCCGAAATAGACGTGGAACGTCTATCATCACACAGCCACACGGAAACAGCCGTATAAAATTTCGCGCCGTTTTATTAAAAAAATAAAATAAAATAAAATAAATAAATAACTAATTAGTTCAATTCAACAAACAAACAAAAAAAGAGGAAAAATATTTAACAAAAAAAAAATGAGGAAAAAACACACACATACACAATAAAGATGAAGTAAAAAAAGAGAGAGAAAACCAAATCTATTATTTAAAATGATGAAAAAAACAACCAACAAAAAAATGGAGTAAAAAAAATAAAACCTAAAGATTTAAATCAAATTTAAAATGAGAGAGAGAGAAAAAATCATACATTTTTTTTCTGTCAAAAGTGAAACATAACACACACATAAAACAACAACAAAACAACAATTTAAGAGAGAAGAAAAAGATAAACATAACATCCACTTTCGTCACGTTATGGACATAAAGAATTAAACACTTAAAACCAAAATTTAACAATGAATTGAATGAATGAAGAAGAAAAAAACCAAATAAATATAATAATATATATATTAATATATATATAATATATATATTATTGCGATCCAAAAAAAACGGGGCAGAGAGAGAAACCTACAAATAACAAGAAACAAACAAGAATTATCGAATTTTATTTAAGTAACACTAACTTAAACTCGTTACAGATCCATTTTCGAAGAAAAAAACAAACATAAATTTAAACAAACAAACCAACATCAACAAATGAATAGTTAAATGCTGTAGTAAATCTTCATCACAATCACCAAACTAAAAAAAAAAAAACTCAAAATAAATATTGACAAAAAAGTAAAATAAAATTCGAAATGTATTTAGAAGCATTATAAACAAAACAAACGAATTATGTGTGCGCGAAATCGACACATAACTTTGCGAACGGTGGGGAAAGAGAGAGAAAGAAAATTTAACAAACAAAACATCCATAATGTTTACCAAGACAAAGAAAACAACAACAACAGCACACATAAGAGATTTAAATTTAACAACAACAAAAAACTGTTTAATGTAAACTTCATAAAAAAAGTAGTTCTGAACATAGCACACACGCCTGACATCAATCATGCTAAAGAAGAAGAAAAAGAAGAAGAGAAAACACAACGACATCACACGTGAAAAATTACGTAAAACTAATCTGTTTGTAAAACAACAATAACAAAATCATTTGGTTATTTTCATGGGTGATATCAAGCCATCATACGAACAATTAGACAGCATCGGCCATGTGTCCGGATACATAAATACACACCCCGAATTGAATTGTTTTTTGAATTGACATTTAGCTGAGACGTTAAGCGAATCGACTTTTTCGTCCTCGACACATACAATTTAACATGTTGAATAGAGATTTAAAATGAGCAGACATTTTCTTTTTCCTTGCAAAACTTTCAACTAGACGTATTTAAGAGAGAGAGTCTTAGTAAAAGAAAAATAAAATGAAATTAAACTAATGAATGAAAAAAAAAAAACAAAACAAAACCTAAAAAAGCACTTTGTGGGTGAAATGCATGAAAAGAAACACATTTCATTTAAACTCTTTTATTATTAAATAGTTAAAATGTTGGTTAATTTAAATAGTCGAAAGAAAAACATTTTTTCATGTATCTTGCTTATGCGGAAAGATTTTTTCGTTTTTCGTTTTTATTGTTCTTTTTTTTTTCTTTTGCTAAGATGCGAGATAGAAAGTGTGCCGTTATAATTACGTCGTATACTATTTGCAGCGGTCATATTGCTTATGAAAAACTTCGTCGACCCGGTTCATTCGCTTTGTCAATGGCCAATGGTTGCGTGGATGTATTATCGAATCTGAAATTGAATCACGCAAATATGTTCCTCTAGGAAAATTTCGATCGAAAATTTGCATTCGATTTTGCTTACATCTTACTACCTTCTGGAACAATCCAAATCGAGATGATCGCGCAATTCTTCGTTTGAATTTCTTTTCATCGAAAATTGTCATTGTCACGCCAATTTGGACCTCGCTTGTGCTGCGTTGACAATCATCAAATCGTCGTTTGACCTAGTCACAATTGGCAGACTATCCTAGTTCAAATGAGGTCAAGGGAGGAATACTATCAAGACAGTTGCCGTCTCATCCAATGCACACACTGAGCGAAATGAGGTTGTCAGAATCACCAACATGAATTTGTAAACGGGCGAATTCCAACCAGCGTTGGACATCTCGCAAAATTTTCTCCACATATACCCTTACAACTGAGTGCAGAAAATTTTGCGAAATGTCCAACCCTGGTTGGAATTCGCTCGTTTACAACTTCATGTTGGTGATTCTGACAACCTTATTTCTCTCTGTGCAATAAATAAACTCTAAGAAACCGAATGAATTGTGTTTTTCATTTGAATAAAATCGAAATTGGCGTTAAACACCTTCAACGAAGTCAAAATCAGATGCAATTCAAAACACACACACACAGAAACGCCGATCATTGTCCAATCGACATAGCGAATGCCGTTTCAAATGTGGTGGTTCAAAAAGTAATTTTGGTTTTACTTGGACCAATTGGTCCAGCGTCAGTTTTCGTTTTTCTTTTTGGATTCATTATAAATGGTAGCACTCAATAAGTCTTTTTATGAATTTTGCTAAATGCCTTGCATTTATATGAAGTTAGAAAGTTTCTATCAATTGTAAAGTATAGTTTTGAATTGGCCATTACCAAAAAAAAACGTTATTTCTTAGTTATTGTAATTAAAAAAAGAAGAAAATATAATTTGATTAAAATTATGCAACATTACAAAAAAAGAAAAGAAAAAACTATGAATAAATAATGGAATGGAACGAGAGTTGGACGGAGGGAGCGTAAGGTATCGAGGAAGCAAATTTAATATTATAAAAATATTCTTCCAAAATAAAGAGAAAATTTACAAGTTAACCGATAAGCGAATAAAATTGAAATAACCATAAGTAAAATCCGAAATCAGAGAGCGGAAGTCAAAAGCATGCCACTCGGCCATTTTCTCGGCGGAAATGGTGACCGTGACGGTGGCGGTGACGACGACGAAGACGATACCGTTGCAATTTCTATACAATTGGCTCTCCAAACATCTTATTCAAATGGTAATGCATAATAAATGGACTTAACCGAATTCTCACACTTCCTCGGAAAAAAAACCCATCAAAACAACCAGATTTTCGTCGTGCGCAAACAAATTACGATTAAATGAGAGAGCATTCATCTCATGCGGATGCATTTCATTTTCAATCCATTATTTTTCTCGTTCAGCCTAGGCCGTTTTTGGATTTTTGTCCAGTTTTTTGATGGATTGACCCTTTAGTTATCTTTATTCCATTGGGTAACAAGCGAGCTTTCAGTCATTTTATTTAATCGTTATTCTTTCACGCCAAACAATTCTGTTGAATGATTACAAAATAGTGCAACAATTTCACTTTTAATTTGTGCAGATTCTCACTTTCGAGTGTTGGCCAAAGCTCAACAATGGCTTCCCACTCCAAAGTCCTTCCTCAGCCACACATTATGGTACATGTTCGATTGGAGCAGCATTGGATTTGTGTTTTGATTCCATTTTCTTTCGCAATTTCCACCAATCTCAATCCAAAGTCTGCTCAGATTGATCAAAACTTCTGACTGATCATCGAGTGATTCGGAGAAACCCGCAAATGTTGAAGATTTCTCCAAAAATTCCCTAAAGTTTTCTAAGTTTTCAAACCAATTTCGAAGTTTTTGAACTATTTTCGAAACATTCGAAATTATTTAACATGTGAATATTAATTAGACTACAAATGTCGATATTTGCCGTTTGAGCCTGGATTTTGAGTTTCTTAAGCCATTTGTCACTGCAGTGTGTCACACATGTCTCATCCCAACACTCACCGACGAAAACAGAATATACACACAATAAGTACACACACAACAATTGCGATTTCGTGTATAAAATAATAAAGACAACAAGCAAATACACCAAAAAATAGTGTAATCAAATCGTTTCAATTTTATTTTTGTTTCCGCATCACAAGAAAAAGAAGAAAACATCCAAACAAACAAGAAGTACTAACACACAAATCAAACCAAATAAAGAAGAAAAAAACAATCGGATTAGAATTATAGTTGATAACAAGCTATACCGAAAACGTTATTATTGCTCTTATTACTATTATTATTATTATTATTTTTGTGAAAGAAAGAAAAAAAACTATATTATCATTGTTTTGCATTGGTCATTATAAGTTAAGACATTAATTTAGTGAGAGAAAAACAAGTGAAAATACCGGCACACATAGATGATATATACTAAAAAAAGGAGTTTAAAACGTTTGGCATACATACACATACCCACAGAGAACCATACGAGTTTTTGTAGAGAATTTAAGAACGAAATTTTCACTGATCAACCGAAAATCATTAGGGAAGCAACTGACAGCAACAAAATCGCCGAAAATTTCATGCCAATTCGCTAATATCTATCAAAAGTTGATGGAGAAAAAAAAATTCGCAAAAAAAACGTTGACATATTTTACGAAATTATTCAATGAAAATATTACTTGTAATTTGTAAGAGGAAACCAAATGAACAGCTATGACGTAGGGAAAATTTCTGATGAAAACGAGGATATAACAGAAAATATAACAAACCATCAGCAAAAGTCCGTTCGTTTTCGCAATACACACAAAGATTTTTTTTCTATTTACCTTTAAAAAAATAAACGCTGGAGCAAAACCGAGCATAAATGTAAAAGAGAGGGACAGACAAAACAACCCACAAACATACATAAAAAAACTATAATTTGTTGGATTGATCGATTCTCGTTTGCATCAAATACTAAGGAATTATTAAGAATGAACGCTTGAAAATCCATTTGGACACCCGATTTCAATGGATCAAAGGAGTTGATTGTTCAAATTCAAATCTTCTGCACATTCACACCAAATTCACGGCTGTATGCGTGTGACTTTGAAAACTTCACACTCGAGTGAATTTTTCTCGGTTCGACGGCAGCAACGTTGACATTCGGTGATGAATCGGCTGGAGTAATCCAAATGGATATGACCTAAAACACCTTTTATTTAACACCGCTTCAAATGGATTTCAAAATGAAAAAACAAAACACAATCAAAACCACAATACACAATATATTAAAAGAATGAGAAAAAAAATCGTATGTTAATTATAAATTAATTTTAATTTCTACGTTAATTCGTTAATTTATCTTTGTAACGATAAATATTTCTAGTTAAATTATACGATAATGGTTACGTTTGTATCATTGTTTCAATGTTGAGTTTTATTGCCCATCAAACAACAATATTTTATTGTCGTTTCTTTTCGTTTCGTTGTTTTATTTCATTATTTCGTTATTTTGGTTTTTTCTGCTTTGTTTTTATTTTCTTTCCCCTTTTGTTTTAGATAGATTGAAGCGACTCCAGTTAACGTTATTCATTTCCTTATCATTTAATTGGTTTATGGATATTTTTGTGTTTGTGTGACGAAATGATGGCGCCGTTTGTTTTTAATGGATTGCTTTGCGGCAGAGACATTGACTATCATGAGAGTCGCAAGATTTTGGCATCTCACCATATTTCGTGGCACAGTAAATCATGCGAAATTTGTTCTTCTCCTCAGTTCTTAGGCTCTCTCACATACACTTTTAGACCGCTGGATCGGTTTTGTTTGAGTTAATCGGCCTGCCAAAGCAACACAAACACTGTCTTTTCTTTTCTTTTTCATTCTTTTTTTCGCTTTCGTTCCAATACAGGCCGTAACGATTTGATCAAAACAATTCAAAAACCCTGACTCCCATCCCTCCTCCAACAAAAAAACCCCATTTAAGAAAAAAAAAAAGAAGATGAAAAGAGAAACAAATAATGAAAAAATTACTTCTTTGATTGTTATGTAAATAGAAAAGTAAATGAGAGAGAGAGAGAGAGAAAGAGAAAATTATGGAATGATCAAGGGACAACCAGAAACTATCTAGATAATATTCATGTTAATAAATTGTGTATTTGTTGTATTGTTACAAAAAAAAAGAAGATTATTTTGATAGGAACGAAATAAATACATATATAAGAATTCTGAACAAAGAAGAAGAACAAAAAAAACTGATAATCAACTAATGAAAACTAAACCAGAAAGCGCCAGCCATTCATTTTTTTGCATATTTAACAGAAATAATGGCGAATTTTCACATAATTCTATTACTTTTCATTCGAATCACACACATATATACGCACACTTCGAGAACGATCATCGCTAGGCAAATTTACGCGATTCGATGCACGTTTAATTCTTCACAGTGCTGTCATGGAGGAGCTTGTTTCCCTATATGGGTATAGACTGCATTCATTTAATGGACTCTTCATTTAAGACGAAACCATCAAATTACTTCTGATCCAAGTTTAATGATGATGACATGGAATTGCAATCAAAAATCAAATGCAACATTGTACGACATTTTCGAGAGAAAAAAATCCCAATGACATCGTGCTTCAAAAGCACGAAAAAACTTTTTCTCAGTTAGCAGAAATATTTCTTGTTGTTTCCAGCCTCTCTGATCGTCTGTACAAATAGATAGGAAACGTCAAACAAGGACAATAAAGCGGCACCTGGCGACTGGTTGGAGAAATAGAGAATCATGCACATAGTTTGCTGTAACACGTATGCGTCTGTGTAAGTGCGTCTGTGTTAGTTCAAACGTTGAAAGTATGACACATTGCACTTAGTCCCTAGGTGCCGCTGTATTTGTTTACTATTTTCATGATCAGAAAGGCTGGTTGTTTCCATTGCAGAAGAAAAAGAATGAACATATATGTGCCTTTGATTAAAAGTTTCAAATTTAATTCGAAACCCACGTTTGTCAACGAATCAACTAAAAACATCAGATAAACAAATGAAAGGTTGCGCTGCTAATGAGATTCTAAAGCTAATTTTGACTTTCCACGATAGAAAAATGAAAGCTTTTTAAAAAAACTTCGTTAACAAAAGTTCGGAAGATAGGGTCAAATTGACGTTTATTTCATTAAATCGAGGCCTAAATCAAGCCTTCAAAGTTTTTCAAAGCTAATGCCAAAACCTACCAAAATTGTCCAAGAAAACGTTTTTAGCTAACGCTTATGTTTTGTCCAAATTCATTCGACCTTCATCGGTATTGCCATTAAAATTACGGCATGTGAAGTGTTAAACATATCCAATTGTGATTTCTGCCTCTTCAGCTGGTCAACAGGTTCTCAAGTGTCTCCTAGAATTCGAATTATTGGTAAATAACCTCGCTCGTCTCTTGAAATCGGCCAAGCAAAGGGCTGCACCGAAAATACTTCCAATCAAATCGAATGAGAAAAACGCACACACACACACACACACACACACACATAAGAAAATAAACACTGTCGATAAAACACAATGCGACAGAATGGGATAAGAACTATGCAAATAGCAATCGATTTGTGCAAGTATTTTCAGTTAACCGGCAATTTGCTGATTGTATCGTTCAAGTAGTCGCACACATTGTCAGTTATTTCTTTCGGTTTGTATTTTATAATGAAAACAAAAAACACGAAGCAAGTTTATATAGAAAAGATCAATGCCTTAGAAAATATCCAGAGGTATCACGACGAATAGAATGTTTCATGTTTTTTTAAACTATGGGATAAGTATAAAATGCATCTGCGAACGAAATGATGGAACATTCGATCAATTGATAGTTGATTCGAATGAAATCGAATTGAACGTACAAATGAGTGTCGATTAGTGTAGTTTTCGTGTCTGATGCATTTGGCTGAATCAGCTACACTCATATTATCACACATACTTTGTGAGTGAGCCATTCCGCATTTGATCAGCTCATGGGAAACGGCTATCGGTTTGAAGTATGGTAGTGCATTGAGGCAAAAAAGGTTAACAATCAAAAATGTATCCAGTTGAAATCAAGTTGAATGCCATCTGGAGGGAAATAAATTTCTTGAAAAATTGTAATTTCACTACATTTCTTTTATATTCCAATTCAATCACCATACTTCCATGCCACATACACCGATCGACACACGCTGCAAACCGCCAGAAACGAGTGAGGCGCACTTAATTTTTTTAGCATAATGTCAAAAGAAAATGAAGATAAAAAACTAGTTCAAAATTCAAGAGAAAAAAAAACAACACAAAATCATTGACAATGTGAATTTTGAACGAAAGAGGAAGAAAAATTTGCAAGAATCATCTTTTTTTTCTGTAGAAATGACAAGTTGACGTGTGTTGTTGAAAAGAAGAGAAGAAAAAAAAAACAAAATAAAATAAATACAAAAAGAATATTTGTTGCAGGCCGCAGCAATACATCCGAAGAAAAAAAAAGAAAAAAGAAAACAAAGTAAAAGAAAAAGAAAAGAATTTCATTTTGCATCAAGTGCCTTGCTAAACTTATTGATTTGTTCATGCATTGATCACTTGCTTTGTAAATTGTCGTGGATTCTCAATGGAAAATTTAAATGACCGACAACAAACAAACAAAAAATACACAAAAAGATGAAGAAGAAGAAGAAGGAAGAAAATTGACCGAAAATGGACAAATCACTCGTCGGTCAGTGGCGAACAAATGAATAAAATACACTAAATTGGTGCGCGAAACGGTGGCGATTCCATGAATGGATTATATTGAAAGTATGAGAATGAACGAGTTTTGAATCGATATGGATGTTGTACACACGGGGGATAAATAGATTTGTAAAACAGTTAAACATTTTTTTTTCGTCATAATTGAAGTGGAAATGCTTACTTACAGCAGAAAAGAAGAAGAATAAGCAGAAGAGACAGAATAGAATCAAGGAGAAACCGAAAAAAATAGCAGAAGATATAAAGCAAAAGTATGGAAAAAAAATCATTAAAGGGAATTTGAGAAACGGGAAAGAAATTTTTTGGAAGAAAGAAAACACCGATAAAATGTGGAAATAAAGACGAGAAATATTTTGGACGAAGAAAAAGAAAAACATACAGAAAATATCTTTATCGGAATATATAACACCAACAACTGGCCATGGTTCATTTTTTTTCTGTTTCATCAAAGTTTTACGTGAAACTTTTTTTTTCTCTTAATATCGATTGGCTGAAGGCTTTGCATGTTGTTCGGATTGTTTCGAACTTCCGCACGCATGAATTCTTGAGCCGAGGATCAGGGGAATTACACATGATGTTGATGGGTCACTTAAGAACTATCTTCAAAAATGTCAAAATACAATGGAGAATGTAATCAAAAATCCACAATCTTGAAATTCAAGACACGAATCAACTTTGGATTGCATGACTAATGACCATTGGGGTCACCCAACAATAGCTTTTCCAATGACTAATCAAATCATGGTCCATTCAACGATTGGATCTCCTTCCTTTAACATCGATTTTACTTCTCAAGTTCATGCCAAAGCCTTTTTCCTTCGCCATCAATGAAAAAAATATATTTTTTCCAAACAAAAAAATGAACAAACGCAAACACACAAAATAATTCTTGTGAGAAAACTATTTAGAAGAAAAAAAGTTCGTCGTTAGCGCATCATACATGTAATAAACCATAAAATAGATCAAAATTTTCGAATTGGAAACGAACAAATACTAAGCATTTTCAATTGAATTTAAAAAAGAAGAGAAAGAAAAAAAACCGCATTCAACTTAGATCCAATTTGAGTTTCATAGACACAAATTCAACGGTTACTGCCAAAACAAAAAACAAAAAAAAAACTTTCATGCACTATAACTACAGAAGCCTAAGATTTTAACTCATCAGTGAATCACGAAGAATAAAGAAAAAAACAGGAGAAAAATAAACAGAACAAGAACAATGCACAACTACAGCACACCGAAATAAAAACCAACAAAATGGATTTGTCTGTACATAAAATCACATTATTCAGTCAAAATGACAAGATGTGTATTTTTTGCATTCTAATTTACGGGGATGAATTCAGTTGCATTTTGATCACAAGCTTATTGTTGCACATGTTCGGCGCGTCAAATCGATTTTCCACTGAATGCCGATTCATTTGTCTTTTAGTTCATCTCCCTTTGATTTGGATTGAATCGTGTGCAATAAGTGAAAATCACGTTAGAACAAGTGGAAAAATGGACATCGATTCTTCAAATGCAATGCCCTCCCCATCCAAAGTAAGATGACAACCCATAGTCCTCTGTTTCGGTTAATTCAAATGTTCGTCATATTTTTCCCGCATTGTTCTAAAGGAAATCAAACAAAACCAAAAAACAAAAATTACAACACACAAACAAACGGCAACAAACTATACGCGATCCGCTAGCGCACGAAATATCATGTTGCATACCGTAGAGAGCGTGCGCTCCCGTACCCTTGTTCAACATCGCCAAACGTCGAGAAATAAAATGTGAACAATTTATGTGTCGCATCTACGATATCCAGCACGAAACGATTCAATATGTGCGATCTAAACGAATGTCTGATTTTTTTTTTTACTCTTTGCGTAATCATAGGATATTTCCTCGAGCTAGAAAACATCCTTACTGATTTCAAATATCATTTATGGTTGCTTTCATTTAAAAAAAGAAGAAGAAGAAACAAACACACAAGAACAACAACAAAAAACGATATAGTGATGCAAAGTGCAAACTATAGACCAACAGTTCCAGCATATGGTAGTTTCAGTTTTCGTTTGCATTAAGCCCCCAAAATTTTATATATTTAAAGGATAATTCTAAATATGCGATCGAGTGTCACACTTTTGTATCTGAATAATAACAACAACAACAACCACAACCAAAAAACAACAACAACAACAACAACAACTGCTGGAATTCAAAAACGGGACGTTTTAGTTTTTCAGTGTAAAGTACTTGACAAACTAAAATTGAATGCGAAAATAAAACACTTACACACACACACAGTGAATATTCAACAGAGTTGATATGAAAAAAAAGCAAAATGACAAAAGAACTCGTGAAAAATTGTTGATTTATTAAACAAAAAAAAACTATTAGAGTAATGCATAAATAATAATAAAAGTAAATAATAATAATATATTATACCTAGAGAGAGGGAAAGAGCAAATTTAAGTAGAATATGCATTATGCAGTCTATTATTAACATCATCTATTTGAGAATAATAAAAACAAAAACAAAAAGTTATTACAAAAAACAAACACATTCACGTTTTTCTTCTTCTTTACATTCCAACTGATTCCCAGGCATTTGTTAGGTAGCCAAATAGTCTGCATTTAGAAGATGGAAGATGCACATTACAAAGGTTTGTATGGAATTCTATTTCAAACTTTCTACACTTTCTTCTTGAAAGTCAATGATTCATAGATAAAATGGATAAAAAAATATCAGGAAATCGCTAAACAGAGAATTCATCAGGATAATTAAAACGGTCAACTTTAAATAAGTTGAATTCAACTTAAGTTCAACTGTTGAACCATCATCGATTTTTTTTTCTGTACTGTTTGTAGCTCGTTGCATTCGAAATTCTTCTTTTCTTGTGTTTTATATGAACGAGTCGCAATAAGTAATCTTATATTTTACACATTGATTAGAATCGCGACGAATTAAAGTTTCAACGCGGATATAGAACTCCCTGTGTCAATGACTTTATCTCTTGAAGGAGAGAACTCTTCATTTTTCATAACATTCTCTTTGAGGTTTTCAAGTGGTCACTTTTGAATCGTTCAAAAATGTTTCCCCAGTAATAATATGAGATGTATTGTGTTCGCTTTCGGAACATTAATTTTGGTTTGATCCTTAAAGGCAAACAATGGAAAATAAATTGATAGGCTACGCATGTTCTTTTTTTCTAGTAAAGTTGGATGCACTTATCATGATTGTTTTCATAGATCTGTAAGAATACTTTTTTTGAGTCACAACTTGTAACCATATTTCGAATCGAGCAACAATTTAAACAACTGCATTGAGAAATTTACATTATTTACCACAGCGGTTTTCATTTTATTTTTTAAATTAATTCATTCGCACCCACTTGTTTTCTTTACTTTTTTTTGTGGTTTCTGGAATGCTGACAGGCATTGACTTCCTCAAGGTGAAAATACCATTTTTACAATTATTGTTCTAATTTCGCATATACACAACACAATGGCAATGTAAATGAGAAGAAATATTTTAATTCAATTTCTTCAAAACAATTCAATTTATCAAAAATAGTGGGATGGTCCGATTTATTATCTTGACTTCAGATCAGCTTTTTATTTTGTTCCAAAATTATTGACTAAATTTCCCAATTTGAATGAGTGTTATTAAAGAGAGTGCTTCATTTTCATTTACCGTTACTCTTTTACATATTAAAACATGTCTTGAATGTGTGTATGAATGAAATCAATTTATTTTGTCGTTTTTTTATTTTTAAACATTTGTTACATGTGTTTTATGAATATTTCACCTCGGAAGATATGCTTTAGTCAATCATTTTTTTTTACATTGTGCACATACAATTTGAATTTAAAATCCGATGCCAGCCAGGGGATTAGCTGCTGCTCCTGTTGCACTACTAGGAACACCACTAAGAGCACCAGTAAGGGTACCACTGAGACCGTTTGTGCTACCTAGAACGTTGGTTACGCTGCTTAGTGCTCCACCACTTAAAAGCCTGCCCATAATGTCGAGAACACCTCCACTACTTCCACTACCTCCACTGTTGACACCTGATAAGAGTTGTGCTAATAACAGAAGGATCGGTACCAAAATGCCTTGTAAAATGTTTTCGATTTTTATGATCTCGTCTGCGTTCTGTGTGAGGAATGTATTCAATATTGCAACGATTGCTCCCAAAACTTCTCCGACAGCATCAACGGTCGGAGTAAGATTTAGAATAAGGGGTTCCATTGTCTGGACAAGTGGTGCTAGTTTTAAAAGGAGTGGAACAAACATCTCGATGATAGTTAAAAGTGGTAAAAGCAATGGTGCAAGTTGTGTAAGCACTGATAGCAAGGTGAGGAGAATTGGAGCAGCACTTATGAGGGAAGAAACTAATTCTGTAGCTCCCGTCACTCCTGAGAGTCCTGTGTCGGGAACCGGTGTCGCACCAATACCAGCTACACATATTGTGGTTGCGAAAAAAATAAACATGATGAAACTCATTTTAATTTGGATTAAATTTTACTGACTGTTTCGAAACAAATTGATAAACTGATTAAAGCTGTTGCTCATATTTTCAATATTTTTGTACAAAATCGACTGCTCTGGTCTAGGGAATAGGGCTGTAAATGATGTCCCGTATGCAAAAAAAATCTTATGCAACGAATGAGTATCAATCGATTACAATCGCATATGTACGCCCTAAATCAGTCGACTGGAAAGCGAATATAAGGTCAATCAACATTTTCACACGAGGGTATTGTTTTTGTTGTTTTTTTCTCTGTTTTCAGTTTCCCTTATTCTGCGTGTATTCACATTCACAATTTTGCAGTGGCGTCGTATTTTTTTTATTTATATCAAAGTACAAGTGTAATTTGTTTATTCACATGTGCATTGTTTGAACAATAACATGAGAATAAAATTTCGATATGTGAAATAT